AGGTAAAACCAGAGCCGATTGTGATCGTCTCTTGTCCGAGGTGAATGAGAATCAACAGGGATGTAGAACTACCAGGCAGTCCGTCGTGTGTTGCTATTTATTTCCCCCTAATCATTCGTTCTGACAGCTGGCATATCTCGACCAATTCATCAGTGTCTAGTATGCTACCTGTGCCTAAGCATTTCGATATGGATGTCACATCGTGTTTCCGCTGTTCCGGGAATCAGCCTTGATGACTTGTCTGAATCTCAGTGCGTTTACCTGAAGACGGCAGCCGGTATGCGATAGCGCAGGCGATGATGGCAAATGGAGATGGCAGAGAAGCAAAAAGAAAAGACGACTGTCAGAAATCAGCGGCGTTGTAACCTTATGATACTTCCCACGACTGAGTCGACGGATGCTAGTCCTCATGCTTGTTGTGACGACGACATGGATTTTCTACAGAGCCTGATTGATAGGCTCCTCGACGTGGATTAACAGGGTTTGTGGGTGAAGCGAATCACCTGTCTTGGAAAGAGAGAGGAGAGGAAATCCCGGCCTCTGCGAGTCACATTTGTTGATGCAATGAGTCTTAGGCTGACACTATCCAGCCTCACTAGGCTAAGAAGTCTCTAGATCCATATTCATCCCGATTTGGATCCGTCGGACAGAGAGAAACTGAACTCCGCTATCGTGGAGTTTAAGCGGCGGATTGATATTTGAGAAACCAATCTCCACATCTTAAATTTTCGGGTAATTCCCCGGGTCCGCCGAACACGGATCAACAGATTGATGACACTTCATGCGCGTCTGCTTTTTCCTACCGCGGTCTGCACATAGCCTTCACAAATGTTTGTAGTTTAATGAACAAACGTGACGATGTATTTTATTCTGTGGCCTCACGTCGTCCGGCCGTACTAAGACTGGCCGAAACCTGGTTAAATCCTGATATCACTACCCAGGAACTCCAGATCAGTGGCTAATCGTGCTTTCGGTGCGACTGACTATCAAACATTCGAGAGGGCATGCTGGTATACATTCGGTCCTCACTGTGCGGGAGACTGGTACACACTTACCGTAGCGAAAATGGCTTGTGCGAACAGTTATGGCGCTCGGTCCACCTGGGACAGGATGAACTGTTTGTCGGTGCTGCTTATCGCAGCCCGCGAAGTCGATGCCTGGGTTAGTTGCCGCATGCCAGAAACTACATGGGTCGGCACCACTTCCTGCTTATGCGTGATTGTACCTTTCCTCGAATACGGCGGCCTGAGGTTCATCTTTTCCCCGGGCACTGTGAAGTCGACGCGCAGTTTACGGAGATGGGATTTGAATCTGTGGCAGCACAATATGTCTGCCGACCGACGCACGTTACAGCGCATTCCGCTCCATCGTGCTTGCACCTACTACAAAGGAGTTGCGAGCAACGTGTGCATGAAATCCAGACCCTGAAGCCTCGAGCAGGTTGTGACTACTCAGTGGTCTTAGCCAGCCTAGGGGTGCCACTGCCCTACTCGCGTATGCCGCAGCAATCCTACAATTATTGGAAGACCGACTTCAATGGTCTGAATCGAACCGCCAGTGATGCACACTGGTCGCTTCCGCAGAATTCATCTGTTGAAGCCTGTTTGTCTGTTCCAAAAGAGAGAGTGCAGTCGTTGTGCGCTCGTTTCGTACCACCCAAGCTGCACCAGTGCAGCCACGTTGCTTCGACACGGAGTATAGTCAATTGGCTTGACGGCGACACAAATTGTGGAATAAATTCCTCGTCCCTGGCTCTGCCGACGATTGAGGTGTACAAAAGGCAGCGGAATCTATGCAACAGCGCATAAGCGGAAGGCTGCAACTTCAGCAACGACGGCTACCAAGAAGCATTTTGCTTACGTGAAGTGCCGCCTGAGGCCCTCAAATGACGCAGCTGTTGGCTATAGAATTGAAGACTGGTAGCTCAAGTTGTTCAGATGGCAATTGAACTGTTCGCTGAGCTTAGCAGTTCTGTTGCAAACGCTTCGTCACCAATCGTGGTGACATCATCAGTGCGCAGTTGAGTGTCGTGCAGTAGTATAGAGTAGCGAAGAGGAGCCTCGGTGAGAGCGCGCTGAACGTGGTGTGTGTGCGTTTTTTTATACCGCCGTGGTTGGCCGTAAAAACGAGCAATCCTATTGGTTGGGATTTCGGTCTGCGTTCAGCTCGGTTGATGGGCAGATGACCTTTGACCTTGCCTCCCTGTGTTTCGTGGCCTTTGTCTGCTTGTTCTTGCGAGCGAGTCTGTCGTCAGTTCTGGTTGTCTATACCATTTCCCGGTTAAGTTGTCCTCTTGGGCAACAGAAATAATCTGCGGGGGCATTCAACATGAGTCTACTCAATTAATTTGCTCCGTGCGCACGCCAGTCACTTGTGTAGGTGTGCGTGTATAGCCCGTCGCCTTCAGCCAATTAGACCTCAGACGCACTAAGTCATATGGGTGCAGGTGGGACGCTTCAGCTCTTACGCACGGAACAAATTAATTGAGTAGACTCATGTTGAATGCCCCCTGTTGCCCAAGAGGACAACTTGGCCGGGAAATGGTGTAGTCACACGTTCCACCGGATTCAATCGATCGCGTTTTTCGGTCGTTCGCCAGTAGTGTTGAATATACTGCGTCCAGTTTGCTGTGTCGATTGATTGAATTCGTTGTAGAGTACCAGGCTTCCAAAAACCCTCGCGTGTTTTGTACCCCCGGATCTTTCCATTCTCCAGATCGAAATGGTGGCCTTGATCTTCATGCACAGAAACCACTGAATGCGGATCATGTCTTCCGATGGCCGTCTTGTGTTCGGTGATTCGTGTACGGAGCTTTCTTCCAGTTTGTCTGACGTAGTTTTTATTGCAGTCGCTGCATTTTATCTGGTAGATGGCATTGCATTGGTCGGTTTGATTGTCTTTTTCTTTGGATCTTGAGATTACTTTCCTTAGGGTGGCACTTGTCTTGTGAGTCACAGAGATTCCATGTGACTGCAACAATTTTCCTGTTAGTTCGGGGCGTTCTTGATGTAGGGGGTCATCATGCGTTTGTTTGCTTGCTCAGGTGACTGCTACTGCTGTTGTTGCTGAGACATTCGTTTCTTTAAGCTTCTTCTGATGAAATTTCGCGGATAACCTTTGTTTCTAAATACTCGATATAGGTGATTTTCTTCCTGTTTCCACGATTAGGCTGTTCCACGATGTGTTTCGGCTCTTTTGAGTTGGGTTTGAATGCAGCTGTTCTTGTGATTCGTCGAATGGTTGCTGTGGTGGTTTAATATCTGGTCCGTATGCGTTTTCTCCCGGTATACACTCGTTTGCATAGATCCGTCTGTATTCCTAGTGACTAGTACATCCAAAAGTGGTGGCTTGTTATCCTCCTTTAATTTGATATCCTCGAACGTGCTATTGAGCAAATCGGGTGTGGCCTGTACTCGGTTCCGCTTTACGATGACAAATGTGCCGTCCACGTATTGTATCCAGAGTTTTGTGCTGATAAATGGCATAACAATACGTTCCAATTTCTGCATTGGGGCTTCTGCAATGAGCCCCGAAATTGGTGAGCCCATGGGTGTTCCTCTCAGTTGCTGGTATACTTGTCCATCAAAGCGAAAATAAGTTGTCATGCAGAGGCTCAGGAGTTTCCAAAAACTTTCAGCTCATATGGTTGTCGTTGGGCCTAATTGATTCTCAAGTAGTTCTATAATGGTTTTTTGTCCAATTCGTGACCGATTGTGGTGGAGAGTGCGGTGACATCGAATGAAAGCATTATTTCCTCGTCTTCTCTTTTGACACTCCGCGGTTTGTTGACGAATTCTTCAACATTATTGATGCTATGTTGGGATCCAGCAACCAAAGGTTTCAGCCTCCTCCACAAATCCCTCGCTAGTGTATATGATGGAGGTCCAGGGAGCGAGACGATTGATCGTAGTGAGACTCCATCCTTGTTAGTTTTGGTTGTCCATGGAACAGTGCAATGTTTCTATCATCAGCTTTCATTCTCCATCTCTCCGTGGCGGTGAGCTCGTTCTTTGTTTGTAATTTCTTCAGCGTTGCCTCGCGAATGAGCTCATATTGTTACGGCCAGGTGAGTGCCAGAGCGTTAGTCTCCTGCAACACAGCTCAAGCAGGCTCTGTATGCATCTTAAAAATGACTCATTCAGACCCACTAACTACACCTTATTTGATCTGCTGCGGTTGCCACTCCTGCCATTCTGATCAGGGTTCGCTTGTCCGGACATGCCAACTATCATCACCAGCTTGGAAACTGACCACAGCGTTAGCAGAACATTTATGGCTGATTTTATCAATTAATGTTTACTTCTCCAACTTTCGTGCGTTGACTTCTGCTTTCCTGCAGCGAGCACAAGAGCAGTTGGGTTTAACAGTCAGAGTGTGTGAGTCAAGTCAGCCTCCTAGTGAACCGCTACCTCGCATACCAGCTGGACACTTTCAGGTGTTCTAGGGTATGTCCGAATCTTTCCTTCCTCTTTCTTCTCTCACGAGTTGACATTCTGATTTTGCTTTAAACTGTTTACAGTCACTTTTTTTCATTTCAGGCCTCCCAGGCCATCAGCCTTTTTAAATGACATATTTTACTAGTTCACTCATCCCTTTTTCTTACGGTTTCCGTCGTTCACTATGTCCGTTAACATTTATTTATTTAGCATATCGCTCTTCATATATTACAGTTTATGCTCGCTTCGCGCTACATTTTTCCTCTCCAGGCGAAATTTGCTTTTCGCGGCACTCAATTCGACTGTCTCTGTGTTCGAGTTGCACTTTAGTGGTATCGACTCCTGTCGCTTTTACCAAATAGATTTCATTTTGGAGTTGTTTTGAGTTCTGGCGATTAGTGACGCATTCCTCATGCATTCGCATGAATCTATGGTACTCTACCGTTTAATATATTTTCACATACCTGGTTTTCTGACAGAGCTTTTAATTGGACTCCACCTACAATTCTGTGACGTCTCGCGTCTCTTTTCTCTCTCACCCCATTCTTTTTTTACTCTTTCTAGGAGGCCCTCTGGGTGAAGTACTTCAGTGGACTGATCTTCTTGCTGGTCTCTTCATCTTGGGTCACAACGTTTCTGTGTCAATGGAATTGCAATCGACGCTCGAGTGGGTGTTTTGCCACTTTGTTTTCTCCCTCATGCCATTTGCCCTTCTTCTCGTCTATTTGCCTTGCGTTCTTTTTTCCTACCTCAGTCGTCTTCAGGTGTCACCATTTTTGAAGACTCCATGTCAAGTAGGACAGTCTGCCGTTGATCTGATTTACACCGATATTGTTGGATTTCGCCAGTTGCAAAGAGCCGGTGTGCGGTGAGTACCAATAACTACACGTCGTATGGCTACTGTCTGCGGTCGCTGGTCTCTTTTTTCAGCTCTTGCCTGCGTTCACCTTCAGATAACGTGCAATTCAAGTCAAATCAGTTTAAGTTATTGTGAATTTCTCTCATCCTGAATCTCTTGCCTTGTGGTCTTTTCTCTCTCCGCTGAAGCCCACAGTACAGCCAATATCGGAACTAGGGCTCCTAATATCTTATTGTACATCTTTTTACAACTCCACCCCGAGTGATGCAATTAGCCGTCGCATTTAGAAGACCATGGAATTTTCTCACGCTTAAAACACGTTATCGCTCATGTTTGGATGATAGCCTCCTTTGATAGTTTCTGTAACATCTATACCCGAAAGCAAACTGTGCTCGTTGAGAGTCAGCATGACCAAAATTGACCAACCCGTGAAACTAAGGCTATCGGTATTTCAATTCACACGTAAGGAAAATTTGTCATCTCATTATCCATGCTAACCCTTGGTATGCTATGCTGCTCAATTTTGTTTGTCAGCTCTAGTGTTTATTCCCAGTCTCGAAACTCTAAGGTTTTCTGACTTTTTGCCATCATTATCGATTTCCTCTCACTGTCTCATCTTTCATTCACATTGTGGGGCCTTTGGCTTGCACCTATGATGCCAATTCCCAACCATATGACTCAGCCGACGTGCCTCTGTTTCGTTTTTTTCTTTTCTTTTGTATTGCGGCACAATAGCTAAGGTATTTTCCACCTGCAGCTAAAGTGTATAATGATGATAATGCTGCCTATTTGAATTCACCATCAAAAGGTGACTCGGGCAAATAATTACAACATCGGATTCTTGTTTGTTCCCGAGTACTTTCTTTTTATATTTCTCATATGGAATCCTGTGTCATCACATAAACTTGACGTTTAGCCCAGTGCTTACGGTCCAACTCGTACTGGTATATCCAAATGAATATTATTAAATAAGATGGATTTCTGTGCTGCTGTACTGTTTGAGTACTCTAGTGTTATTACATCGGGCATACGGGTTGCCTATCGAACGGGCGAGCTGAACGGATGTGTGTTGACAGTCTGAAAGCTGATCGATCGTCACCAGCCGAACAGCAATGCTTGCACGCGTGATTGATAGTCGGCTTGTGAACCCGCACAATGCTAGATTTCCGCCGGAGGCGGTCAATCAACGAAGACCAAATTAAACTCGTTCAGCCGACCATAGATTTCCTTATAGATATATTGATATCTAATCCAAGTGCCCACCTTACATATGCACCCGTAGTTCCACTAGCGAGTGGTAATTGTTCAGGAGAGACAAAACTTAAGCGTAGTGCTGAGAACCAACGTTTTTCCTTGAGGAGCAAACTAGGGGCTTGTAACTGCCTACCGATATGACAATGGTTCCACTAGCCCGGGCAAAACTAATGCTCGTAACAGAGTCGAATAGCGTGATAAAGGGGAATTGCTGATTTTTCGGTATGGTCTACGGAACCCTTTTGACCTCATGTTCCCACACAATCTTGACCCTAATCATTGGATTGACAGTTTCCGTGTCCTGATTTGCCTGTCACTGTGGCAAGCCACAGGACGATTGCGCACTCAGAGGGACCATGGGTGGCCTGCACTGCACCACTCACAGATCCATCCACACACCCTAGATCCAGTGTAAACCCGAAAGAATAAGACCGTGAGGCATGTGGCTGGGAACCACGTTTCATCAACGGAGCTGGCGCACACTGCTTCAACATAGACAGCAGCAGCATTCCTATCTGTGGAGAATCATGCCTACTAGACGTACGCAAGGCTGTGGATGGGCTGTCACTCAGACATTGCCAATCACATGCGTGGTTTCATGTGTCTAGCGCATGTCTGGCGGACAGTCACTCGACTTTAACCTGACTAAGACGATAGAACATATCATATGTTTCATCAGCCTCGATCTATGGCACTGCACAGTGACAGTGCTGATGCTGCATAGTCCCGTACACTCACATGCATTTGTCCACACTTTGTATGAGCAATCACAAACTGGGTGGAAAGACATGTACCCTCTAGAACAATAATAGTACAAGCGTCCATGGGTTTGGATTAGAGGCAAGCATAACTTAAAGCAATTAGTTCCATTCCGAAATTTGAAAAGCACGATAAGATACGAAAACTGGCAGGTGCATGCATTTCGTATTGTCTCTTCAGTACCATTAACAATAACCGGTATGGAAATATATATATATATATATATATATATATATATATATATATATATGACCGAATAAACATGAGGTGCGAAATGTATGACGGAAGTTCCACCCCCTATGTCCACGACAGTCTTAAGCTGATAAATAATTGCTTTTGAACACACAGGGCCGGCTTATCGCAACGGCCTCGGCGAAACGGAGGAAACGGGGATTAGGATGACGTAATACAAGTGTGAACTCTGATCCAAGCTCTATCCGGTGACGCGTAGTCACTAGGTGTTTACTTATTGAGGAAGCTGGCGGCTTTCGCAAGCACGACTAACTAAACTTTTCACAAGGGTCCACTTGTACCGCACTGGTGTGAAGCTGGTGAAGTGCAGATATTAGCCGGACCAGGTTGCTTTTCTGTAGATACACCTTTTAATAAGCCCGTCATCCCTGCGACTGATGAGGATATTTAAGAACGACAGACAGTTCTTCTGTTCCACTTCGCAGGTGACCCGCAAGTTGGTATGTGCACAGTTGTATTGCTGCACCAAGTGGACAATTTGCTGCTCCGATGAACAAAAGGCCAATATGTCATCCACACAACGCTTATAGTATGGTAACTGGGCTATTTCTGTGGGTATGCTTCTTTCTATCATCAGCATGAAGAAATCGGCAAGAACAGGGCCTAGTGGGCTACCCATTGCCACACCATCGATTTGACGATATAGGGTGTTCCGAAAGTGGAGGCCAGCATTTGCTGTACACTGAAGTAAGGATTCCTTTAGAAATTCGACTGGAATTGGTAACGACTAATTAGATTGCTCAGCTAGCTCACATATGTAATCAACAGTTTGTTGTAGTGGGACATTGGTGAATAGAGATTTCACATCCAAGGAACACATGACCTTATCTGAGAGGTTGATGTCATCTAAGTCACCGATAAGTTGAAAAGAATCTTTAAGACTATATGGATTGGACAGTTGTCGCAGAGGCGAAAGTATCTTCACTAGCCAGCGAGCCAATTTATGCTGCGGCGCGTTTACCATTGATAGAATCGGCCTAAGTGGTACTCCACACTTGTGTGTCTTCGGCGACCCGTATAGATGCAGAGGAGTGCTGCCACTTGGCTTCAAACAATTATAGGTGTCACTATCGATCACGCGATGATGGGGAAGCATTTCAAGATGGGCAGCAATGTTAACTTCAGCGTCGGCTAAGTACTCCATCTTATTAAGTCGTTTAAATTTGCTCGTGTCGTTGAGTATGCTACTCATTTTCTGTGCGTTGTAAATGGTTATCCACGTCGATTTATAGCAGAACGCAGCCAACTGCGAGGCCCGAAGGACTTGGTGCATACCTCAGCCAAGAAAAAGATCTATATCGAGTTGCCTTTCAAGAGTGACTTTGCTGTATTGAAAACCACGAAATGTTTAATCACTGCTACGCAGAGAAGTTACTGTGCTGCTCAGGTTGTGGTCATCAATAGAACCTGTGACTTGCCGGTGCCTCCAACGCAGGAAACTCAACCGAAAGGGGCCAACTCACACTGCATATACGAATTCGTGTGCGACTGCGGAGACAGTTACATATGCACAACCATTCGGTCTTTAACTTCCTGAATAAAGGAACACGTGCCAAGGTGGGTTCAGCGTGAAATTGACCAGCATCCCTGTCCCACCGAAGTTCCGTGCTTGCGCAAGCCGCCGGCTTCCTCAATAGGTAAACACCTAGTGGCTACGCGTCACTGGATAGAGCTTGGATCAGCGTTCACACTTGTATTACGTCACCCTAATCCCCGTTTCCTCCGTTTCGCCGAGGCCGTTACGATAAGCCGGATGAAGCCGGCCCTGTGTGTTCAAAAGCAATTATTTATCAGCTTAAGACTGTCGTGGACATAGGTGTGGAACTTCCATCATACATTTCACACATGCTTATTCGGTCACACGCACATTTAAGTATATAATTGCACACTGGTTATTGTTAATGGTACTGAGGAGACAATACGAAACGCATGTAAGTGTAACTGTCATGTTTTTCATGCCGTGAGCAGTGGCACGGGCAATTTATGACGATCTCTTGAGAAACTCGAACGCTATCTGTATTCCACTAGGCTTACAAACCGGCCTTCTTTAGGATCCCTATCCCATGGCATAATCTGACTTGGCCGGTGGGTAGCGTCAGACAGGTAACTGTGTGTATTACTGTTCGATTGTCGATCACTGCATGGTTGCGTGTCAGTGAGTGCAGGTCAAGCATGACCATACGCTGGATTATGAATGTGTCACAACTCGACATGAGTACGACACCGTAGTTGCATGTGCGAAATGCACGTTTAATGTGCGGGAGACAGTACTGAGCGAAACTAAGTAACCGGATTGAGACGGAACTGGGGTCATGGTAATTCGCTGTAGCCCAGCTGCGATGATAAAGCATGGTATATACAACATCAACCGCCGCATGCGGCTGAGACTCTACTAGTACGCAAACACCTGACTTTTTGAAATGGAAAATCATATATCATCGAGATCACATTAATCACAGTCACAAACCTGTCATGTTTTTCGCAGAGTCCTTTTTTCATATGGTAAGCCAAACACCAGTCATTTATATTCATGATTAACGAATCAAAAGATAATTTTACTGTTTCCCTATTTTTTCACTGTATTATTTTTCATTCCAACCTGGAAATTCTGACATTTAATTTGGATTTGTGTGGTTTTTCTGTAACGCATTGAAGACTAGCGTTATATATTTATCTTTAAGCGTATTTTCCATATTGGATTATGTTTATTAATCACAACGCAAAATGTAAGTTGGTGTCGAAGA